GACAGCTCAGCAAGACTGTTAAGAAACCATGAGCAGAACATCCAAGAAATATGGGATAACATTAAGAGACCAAACTTAAGAGTCATTGGGATACAGGAAGGTACAGAGCTCCAAACCAAAGGAATGAGCAGTCTATTCAATGAAATAATACGAGAAAACTTCCCAGACTTGAAGAATGAGACAGAATCCCAAATCCTAGAAGCCTACAGGACGCCGAATGTGCAAAATCATAAGAGATCCACACCTAGACACATTATAATGAAGATGCCCAACATACAGAATAAGGAGAGAATTTTAAAAGCTACAAGAGAAAGGAAGCAGATTACATTTAGGGGTAAGCCAATCAGGATAACAGCTGATCTTTCAACACAGACTCTGAAAGCTAGAAGATCCTGGAATAACATATTTCAGACACTGAAAGAAAATGGGTTCCAACCAAGAATTGTGTATCCAGCGAAATTAAGCTTCAGGATGGAAGATGAAATTAAAACCTTCCACGATAAACAAAAGTTTAAAGAATTCGCAGCTAGAAAACCATCTCTTCAAAACATCCTCGCCAAAGCATTACAGGAAGAGGAAATGGAAAATAACAATGAAAACCAACAGTGGGAGGTAGGACAGTAAAGGGGGGGAAAATAATCAAAGGGGAAAACAAACCATGTTTAGTAACAGAAATAAACAAATATGGCTGGAAGAACAACCCATATCTCAATAATAACCCTAAATGTTAATGGCTTAAACTCACCAATTAAGAGACACAGGCTAGTAGAATGGATCACAAAACAAGACCCAACAATATGCTGCCTACAGGAGACGTATTTGATAGGAAAAGATATACATAGGTTGAAGGTGAAAGGTTGGGAAAAATCATATCACTCATATGGACTTCGGAAACAAGCAGGAGTGTCCATACTCATATCAAATAAAATAGATTTCAAGCCAAAGTTAATCAAAAGGGATAAAGAGGGACACTACATACTGCTTAAGGGAACCATACACCAACAAGACATAACAATCATAAATAAATATTTATGCCCCAAACAATGGTGCAGCTATGTTCGTCAAACAAACTCTTCTCAAGTTCAAGAGTCTAATAGACCACCATACCATTATCATGGGAGACTTCAACACACCTCTCTCGCCACTGGACAGATCTTCCAAACAAAAGTTGAATAAGGAAACTATAGAACTCAATAACACTATTAATAACCTAGACCTAATTGACATATATAGAGTATACCACCCAACATCAAGCAGTTACACTTTTTTCTCAGCAGCACAGGGATCCTTCTCAAAAATAGATCATATATTATGTCACAGGGCAACTCTTAGACAATATAAAGGAGTAGAGATAATACCATGCATCTTATCTGATCATAATGGAATGAAACTGAAAATCAACGATAAAAGAAGGAAGGAAAAAGCATACATCACTTGGAGAATGAACAATAGGTTACTGAATGATCAATGGGTTATAGAAGACATCAAGGAGGAAATTAAAAAATTCTTAGAGATAAATGAAAACACAGACACAACATATTGGAATCTATGGGACACATTGAAAGCAGTTCTAAGAGGAAAATTCATTGCTTGGAGTTCATTCCTTAAAAAAAGAAAAAAACAACAAATAAATGATCTCATACTTCATCTCAAAATCCTTGAAAAAGAAGAGCAAAACAACAGCAAAAGAAGTAGAAGGCAAGAAATAATTAAAATCAGAGCTGAAATTAATGAAATCGAAACAAAAGAAACAATTGAAAAAATTGACAAAACTAAAAGTTGGTTCTTTGAAAAAATAAACAAAATCGACAGACCCTTAGCGATGCTAGCGAAGAGAAGAAGAGAGAGAACTCAAATTACTAGCATAAGGGATGAAAAAGGCAATATCACAACAGACACTTCAGAAATACAGAAGATAATCAAAAACTATTTTGAATCCTTATACTCCAATAAATTAGAAGATAGTGAAGGCATCGATAAATTTCTTAAGTCATATGATCTGCCCAGATTGAGTCAGGAGGATATAGAAAACCTAAACAGACCAATATCAATTGAGGAAATAGAAGAAACCATAAAAAGACTACCAACTAAGAAAAGCCCAGGACTGGATGGGTATACAGCAGAATTTTACAAAACCTTTAAAGAAGAACTAATACCAATACTTTTCAAGCTACTTCAGGAAATAGAAAAGGAGGGAGAACTTCCAAATTCAGTCTATGAGGCCAACATCACCCTGATACCTAAACCAGACAAAGACACTTCAAAGAAAGAAAACTACAGACCAATATCTCTAATGAACCTAGATGCAAAAATCCTCAATAAAATTCTGGTGAATCGGATACAAAAACATATCAAAAAAATTGTACACCATGATCAAGTAGGATTCATCCCTGGGATGCAAGGCTGGTTCAATATACGGAAATCAATAAATGTTATTCACCACATCAATAGACTTAAAAATAAGAACCATATGATCATCTCGATAGATGTGGAAAAAGCATTAGACAAAGTACAGCATCCCTTTATGTTCAAAACTCTAGAAAAACTAGGGATAACAGGAACATACCTCAATATTGTAAAAGCAATCTATGCTAAGCCTCAGGCTAGCATCATTCTGAATGGAGAAAAACTGAAGGCATTCCCTCTAAAATCTGGAACAAGACAGGGATGCCCTCTCTCTCCACTTCTGTTCAACATAGTTCTCGAAACACTGGCCAGAGCAATTAGACAGACGAAAGAAATTGAAGGCATAAAAATAGGAAAAGAAGAACTTAAATTATCACTATTTGCAGATGATATGATTCTATACCTAGCAGACCCAAAAGGCTCTACAAAGAAACTATTAGAGCTAATAAATGAATTCAGCAAAGTAGCAGGATATAAAATCAACACGCATAAATCAAAGGCATTCCTGTATATCAGCGACAAATCCTCTGAAATGGAAGTGAGGACAACCACTCCATTCAAAATATCTTCAAAAAAATAAAATACTTGGGAATCAACCTAACAAAAGAGGTGAAAGACTTATACAATGAAAACTACAGAACCCTAAAGAGAGAAATAGAAGAAGATCTTAGAAGATGGAAAAATATACCCTGTTCATGGATAGGCAGAACTAACATCATCAAAATGGCGATATTACCAAAAGTTCTCTATAGGTTTAATGCAATGCCAATCAAAATCCCAACGGCATTTCTTGTAGAAATAGAGAAAGCAATCATGAAATTCATATGGAAAAATAAAAGACCCAGAATAGCAAAAACAATGCTAAGCAGGAAGTGTGAATCAGGCGGTATAGCGATACCAGACTTCAAACTATACTACAGAGCAATAGTAACAAAAACAGCATGGTACTGGTACCAAAACAGGCGGGTGGACCAATGGTACAGAATAGAGGACACAGAAACCAATCCACAAAACTACAACTATCTTATATTTGATAAAGGGGCTAAAAGCATGCAATGGAGGAAGGATAGCATCTTCAACAAATGGTGCTGGGAAAACTGGAAATCCATATGCAACAAAATGAAACTGAATCCCTTTCTCTCGCCATGCACAAAAGTGAATTCAAAATGGATCAAGGAGCTTGATATCAAATCAGAGATGCGCCGTCTGATAGAAGAAAAAGTTGGCTACGATCTACAGTCGGTGGGGTCGGGCTCCAAATTCCTCAATAGGACACCCATAGCACAAAAGTTAATAACTAGAATCAACAAATGGGACTTACTCAAGCTAAAAAGTTTTTTCTCAGCAAAAGAAACAATAAGAGAGGTAAATAGGGAGCCTACACCCTGGGAACAAATCTTTACTCCTCACACTTCAGATAGAGCCCTAATATCCAGAGTATACAAAGAACTCAAAAAATTAGACAATAAGAGAACAAACAACCCAATCAACAAATGGGCCAAGGACCTGAACAGACACTTCTCAGAGGAGGACATACAGTCAATCAACAAGTACATGAAAAAATGCTCACCATCTCTAGCTGTCAGAGAAATGCAAATCAAAACCACCCTAAGATACCATCTCACTCCAGTAAGATTGGCAGCCATTATGAAGTCAAACAACAACAAGTGCTGGCGAGGATGTGGGGAAAAGGGTACACTTGTACATTGCTGGTGGGACTGCAAATTGGTGCAGCCAATTTGGAAAGCAGTATGGAGATTTCTTGGAAAGCTGGGAATGGAGCCACCATTTGACCCAGCTATTCCCCTTCTTGGTCTATTCCCTAAAGACCTAAAAAGAGCATGCTACAGGGACACTGCTACATCGATGTTCATAGCAGCACAGTTCACAATAGCAAGACTGTGGAACCAACCTAGATGCCCTTCAATAGACGAATGGATAAAAAAAAATGTGGCATTTATACACAATGGAGTATTACTCTGCATTAAAAAATGACAAAATCATAGAATTTACAGGGAAATGGATGGCATTAGAGCAGATTATGCTAAGTGAAGCTAGCCAATCCCTAAAAAACAAATGCCAAATGTCTTCTTTGATATAAGGAGAGTAACTAAGATCAGAGTAGGGACGAAGAGCAGGAGAAGAAGATTAACTTTTAACAGGGATGAGAGGTGGGAAGGAAAGGGAGAGAGAAGGGAAATTGCATGGTAATGGAAGGAGACCCTAAGGGTTATACAGTGGAGGGGGTAGAGAGAGAGGAGGGAAGGGGAGGGGAGAGGTGGGGAGGGGGGATGGTGGAGGATGGGAAAGGCAGCGGAGCCCAACAGACACTAGTATGGCAATATGTAAATCAATGGATGTGTAACTGATGTGATTCTGCAATCTGTGTATGGGGTGAAGGTGGGAGTTCATACCCCACTTGAATCAAAGTGTGGAATATGATATGTCAAGAAATTTGTAATGTTTTGAACAACCCACAATAAAAAATTAAAAAAAAAATTCATTAGAAAACTTAGAATTGAACCACCATTTGACCCAGCTATTCCACTCCTCTGTCTATACCCAAAGGACTTGAAAACAGAATACTACCAGGACACAGCCATATTAATGTTTATAGCAGCAAAATTTACAATTGCAAAACTGTGGAAGCAACCTAGATGCCTTTCAATAGATGAATGGATAAAGAAACTGTGGTACATATACACAATGAAATATTGCTCAACATTGAAAGAGAATAAAATTATGGCATTTGCAGGTAAATGGATGGAGTTGGAGAAACATCATGCTAAGTGAAATAAACCAATCCCCCCCCCCAAAAAAAAAATAAATAAAAGCCAGACCCTCATGGTGGCCCACCACCATTTCCAATGAAGTTTGCCCCTCTAGTACTTAATAGAGCATCACTGGTCCATGAGGTCTGCATCCATTCTTGTGTGTGTGTGTTCCCTTCTATGAGCTTTTAGGAAGCATGGTTGCCAGGTTTAGAGTTGGGCAAATTTTAGGAGTGACTTCAGGGGATTACAGTATGAGGCTTGGAGTTGGAGCCTGGTCAGTCACCTTCCAGTTAGCCATTGATCTCCCTACTTAATCCACCAGACATCTTCTGCTGGCTGATATTGATGTCTTTTAATTTCAAGGACACTGAGCTTGGTGGCTAGTAAGTGTCCTAGGGTTAATTTGGTGGCCTCCTCCACCAAAAGGGCTGTGGCCACCAAGCCCCTAGGTGTCTGGGCCATGCACAGGACATGGAATCCAACTGTTTAGAAAAGTAAGCCACAGATTGAGGAATATACCTCAGTTTTTGAGTGAAGACTCATGCCACACCTTGTCTCTCAGCTACATGCCAGGTGAATGGCTCATGTAAGTTGGGAATCTCCAAGGCTGTGGCAGATAAGTCCCTGAGCTTTAGAAAGAACCTGTTTTGGGCTAGGGTTGGCTCACCGTTTCCTAGGAGGCTAAGGCAGGAGGACTGCAAACTAGACATTAGCCTGGGCAATTGAGACCCTTTATCAAAATAAAATAAGTGGGGCTGGGGATTATACCTCAATTGTAGAGGATGTACTTAGAAACTGTGAGGCCTTGGGTTCAACATGCAGAACTGCAAGCAGAACTGCAAAAAAAAAAAAAAAAAAAAAAAAAGACGGGGGGAGTCTCATTTAGTCTGTAGGACTGACATGGTGCCGCAGTCTGGCTGGGCACAATTCAGGAGCCACTTGTCAAAAGAAACGAACTTTATTTTTAGAACCACACATGCCAAACAAAACAGCTCCTCAGGACTTATCTTCAGAGCCCAACTGCCACCACCGGCTTCCCACAAGCCTCTCAACCTCCCCCACTCCTCCTGCTCTTGAGGCCGATTGGCTGGGTCGCGTGGGCGGAGCCAAAAAAAGTCCCCCAATGAGCAGCTCCGTAGTCTGAAAGGGCGGGGAAACTGCCCAATGAGCATCACCGCAGAGGAGCCAATCAGCTAGAAGTTGCTGGGGCCGCTGTGAGCCAATCATCAGCTGGCAGTCTGAAAGTTTGCTGGGGCCCCTTCGGCTGTGGCTCTCAAAATCTCCCCCTCTCTGTTTAAACAACAAGCATGTGGCTTAGGGACCGTGCCTGCCTTAGGTTGTCCAATAGTACATATGGTTCTTACCCGTTATCGGATGAGCTGACCTCAAGGCGTCAGCCTCCTGTCTTAGGTTGGTACCATTGCAATTGGATCTTACCCGTCACTGACTACCGGTCCAGTATACAGCCACACCTGTGGATAGGTCTTTGTACCAGCGGGGGGGGGGGTGAGGTTCTTTGCCTCACCTCTGTTGGCCCCCAAATTTTAGCTGAACGATCATGACAAGCAGAAGGGAGGAAGATACACCAAGCCAATTGACAGCTCCTTTTGGAAAAATTGTACCACCGATGACATCATCAGCAAAAATACCCCAACATTACCACAAGTCGCTGCACCAACAGATAGTTCACAATGCATACAGGTGAGTTCACAATGCATACAAGTGATACATAGTCCAGGCAAGTTCTGCAAGCAGTTCAGTAATGGCTATTGCAGAAGCTGTAGATTGGTTTTATCTTTGTCTTCACTGGCACTGGGATGAAGATAGGAATTCTGGCAATAATGGCTAAAGAAAAAATTATGTAACATTACAGAAGGCACTAAAAGAAAACAATTTTCTTAACAATTTACATTATCTTTAAGAGAATTATTAAATATAATGAAAAGAAAAGGTGAAAGTAAACAAACAGATCTGTTAACCTCCTTTTTTGTTCACATATTAAAACAATCCTCAACAGTTGTTTACCCAATTTAAATTAAACCATTTAAATCAAGTGAATAAAAAAAATATTTGGATCCATTTTTTCATGAGCGCTCATCATATATGATATATGGACATACATACACACAAACACAACATAAAACACAAGTGTGCACACAAACCATAACATAATAGTAAAGACCTTATAACTTTTTACAGGTGAAATCTCCATTGCAATGTTTAAAAATTCTATAGTCAAAAAATAGAACTGATCAGCAAAACATTAACCTAGGTCTATATGAGCTCAAAAAACAAAATAGAACTTCATGATGTGGGAAAGGGCAATAATAAAATAGATATTGAAAAAAGCATCCTGGTTCTGTCGCAGATGTAAGGGTAGCCAAACTGGAGTTCTAGATATCAGCTGTTATGGATTTGAGCCAAATCATCTTCTTTTTGGTCTGTAGAAATCGCTTTAGTTAATCTCTCTGGAATCCAAATCGGCTGCTGTTCTCCCTGTGGAAACACACAAACAGACCCCCGACTCCAGACAATTACTGGGTCAGGACCTTTCCATTGTCCTGTTAGAATATCCTTCCAAAGTACCTTGGGCTTATGTACATTTTTTGGATACATATGCCTTTCCGCAGCACTAAGCCCTGATGAATCCAAACTTAAAAAGTTTAGAGTAAAAAGGGTTATTTTAAGTTTATCTTTGGGGAATATATACCCCTTCCCAATTCCTTCTTTTTGCTTTAATAAGTACATTTTAATAGTTTGAGGAGCTCTTTCAACTATGCCTTGTCCCTGTGGATTGTATGGGATTCCTGTTATATGAGTAATGCCAAATGTTGAGCAAAATTGTTTAAAAGAGGTAGAAGTATAACCAGGGGCATTATCTGTTTTTAACTGTTTTGGAACGCCCACAGTGGCAAAATTTTGTAAGCAATGAGCTATAACATCTTTAGTTTTTTCTCCGGCATGAAGGGAGCCCATCAAAAATCCAGAAGAAGTATCAACTGTAACATGCAAATATTTTAATTTTCCAAATTCTGGCAAGTGTGTGACTGCCAAATATGGTTAGGTATCAATCCTCTAGGATTGACTCCAAGATTAACTTGTGGTAAAAAGGTCACACAATTTTGACATTGTTTTATTATTTCTCTAGCTTGTTCCTTAGTTATTTTAAAATGCTTTTGTAAAGTATTAGCATTGACATGGAACTTTTTATGAAAATTTGTAGCTTCTTCTAGTGTAGAGAAAATATGTATGTCATGTGTAGTTTTATCTGCTAAATCGTTGCCCAAACTAAGGGCTCCAGGCAACCCTGTATGTGCCCTGATATGTCCTATAAAGAACGGATCTTTTCTGTCCCAGATTAGACTTTGTATAGTGGAAAGCAAAGAGAAAACAGTAGAGGAAGGGGAAATCCTACCAGCATCTTCAAGGGATACTATAGCATTAACTATATACTGACTATCGGAAAATAAATTAAATACAGAATCTTTAAACATCACAAAAGCTTGTAATACTGCATTAAGCTCTACCTTTTGAGCTGATTGTTTGGGTACTAAAAATGTAAAAGTTTGATCAGGTGTAACTATTGCTGCTCTACCATTATTTGACCCATCAGTGAATATATTTGGAGCATTCATGATATTGTTTTTCTTGTCATTTTTGGAAAAATTACAGGATGCGATGACCAAAAAGACAATAAAGGATTAGATGGTAAATAGTTATCAAATGAAACATTAGATTTGCACATGATTATTGCCCAAGTATTTAACTCATTAGCTAACTCATCAATTTGATTCATAGTATATGGAGTAATAATTTTATTGGGAGAAATTCCAAACACTCCCTTTGCTGCTTTTATTCCTTTGAGTATTAATTGTCCTACAGCCTCAGGATACCTAGTAAGAATAGTGTTAGGAGAATAAGATAAATGTATCCATAATAATGGACCTTCTTGCCAAAATACTCCTGTAGGAATATTTTTTGTTGGTAGTACAATAAATAATAAAGGCAAACTTATATCAATTCTATCCAAATGCATATTTTCCATATATGTTTCAATGATTTTTAATGCCTTTCTTGCTTCAGGCGTTAACATTCGGGGTGAATTTGGATCTGATGGACCTTTTAGGATATCAAATAAAGGTCCCAACTCTCCTGTTGGTATACCTAGATAAGGCCTTATCCAATTTATGTCTCCTAATAACTTTTGAAAGTCGTTAAGTGATTTGAGTTGATCTACTCGTATTTGAATTTTTGGTGGACGGACCATGGTTGAGGATAACAGAACTCCTAAATAATTAATTGGAAAATTTAATTGTACTTTATCTATTGCTATCTCTAGATTATAATTTTTTAATAAATTTGTAAGTGTGGCATAACATTCTAGCAATGTGTTTTTATCTTTGTGTGCTAATAATACATCATTCATATAGTGAAATATTTGTAGTTCAGGATTTTGATTTCTAAGTGGCTGGATTACTTTGTTAACATAAATTTGACACATAGTTGGGCTGTTAGCCATCCCTTGAGGGAGTACTTTCCATTCATATCTCTGATCAGGACCTTCATGATTCAGTGCAGGGATAGTAAATGCAAAACGTGGACTATCCTCAGGATGAACTGGAATTGAAAAAAAACAATCTTTAATATCTATAACTAAAACATACCAGGTTTTTGGCAAAGCAGACAATTGAGGAATCCCCGATTGAGCAGGTCCCATAATAACCATCTCATTATTAATGGCTCTTAAATCTTGCAATAATCTCCATTTACCAGATTTCTTTTTGATGACAAAAATGGAGTATTATGGGGAGATACAGAAGGTTGTATATGTCCTTCTGCTAATTGTTGTTTGACCAGGTCATGGGCTGCTTGTATCTTTTCTTTAGTCAGGGGCCACTGAGGAACCCACACTGGTCTTTCTGATTTCCAAGTATTTTTTATTGTCTCAGTGGCCCTTTCTGAAAATCCAACCCATGTCTGTCTGTTCCTTGATCTATTTGTATTGGTGCTGCTATACCTTATTCTTGTTTTTCTAATCTTTTTCCTTTCCTAAAACCTTGTCTAGCCACAATAGTGGGTACATTTTAATTGATGTTATTTGTTAATGTCAAACCTAATTCAACTAGGACATCTCGTCCCCATAAATTTACAGGGAGATGATCCAATACATATGGTTGTATAGTTCCTTCACATCCTTCAGGATCCTTCCAATCTAATACCATTGCACTTCTATGGGGATTAGTCGCCACTCTTAGGCCTCGAAGCGTTTGAGTGGCTTGTTGTAATGGCCAATGTTTTGGCCATTCTTGATGAGAGATGATGCTAAGGTCTGCACCTGTATCCAGTAGCCCATTAAATTCATGTCCTTGAATATTTAGTTTTAGCATGGGGTGAGAATCTAAATTTAAAGAAAGCATAGCCCAATCTACACCTGTGGAGCCTAATCCCTTGGAACCTCTTTCTACAGTACGACTGGAAAATTTATCATGTAGGCTGGGTATTATTAGTAACTGTGCTATTCTATCTCCTGGTGAAATTACTGATATACCCTTTGGAGAACTGGCTATAATTTTTATTTCACCTTCATAATCGGGATCAATTACCCCAGGACTTATCATAAGTCCTTTTAGAGTAGAAGAGCTGTGTCCCAATAATAAGCCTACTGTTCCTTTGGGAAGAGGTCCTTTTACCCCTGTGGGAATGATTTGAACTCCCATCTCTGGAGTTAGTACTGCTCTGGCGGAGGCGCAGATGTCCAACCCTGTGCTCCCTCTGGTTTGTCTGATGAGGGATCTGATGGACAATGTGTCCTGGGCACTACCCTCATGGGGTTGCTGGGTTCCTCCAGTGCTCCATATATTTGTGGTTTTGAGCCCCGGAGCATTGGGCCCCCTTATCCATTTTTTGGCAATGGAGCCCGATGCCTTTCTCCACGATATCGTGGATAAACATCTGGTCCTTGTTCGTTTTTTGATAATGGAGTACCCTCTATGGTGGTTTGAGAACAGCATTCATTAGCCCAATGTCTCCCTCTACGGCATCGTGGGCAAATACCCGGTATTCTACTCCTTTGATACCTAGTTTTGTTAAACCCTCCTCCTATGGGGCAATTCCTTTTAAAATGTCCTGTTTGTTCACAATTGTAGCATGTTCTTGGCCTGGCATCTAAAGCCTGTTTTACTGCAGCTGCCACGACTTGCTCTTGTTCATTAAGGTCTCTACATAATTTAATATATGTGTTTAAATCTTCATGTTTCCATGGTCTAATGACTTCTCTGCACCAACGATTCGCTTGCTCATAAGCCAGTTGTTTTATTAATGGCATTCCTTGTTCTGTATTCCCAAAAACTCTGGTAGCTGTTTGAATAAGCCTATCTACAAATTCAGCGTAAGATTCATTAGCTCCTTGTATTACCTTAGATAATTGACCTTGTAAACCTCCATGTCCTTGTAAAGTCTTCCATGCCCTAACCGCCTCTGCAGCAATTTGTGCGTATACGCCAGGATCATATGCAATTTGTTGCTGCTGATCCTCATAAGGTCCCTTTCCTAACAACATATCTAGATTTCTCTGAGGATAACCAGCTGCTGAATTTCGCCTAGCCGTCTCCTTGCAAAATTCCTCATTGGCCACCTTCCATAACAGGTACTGTCCTCCATTTAGCACAGCTTTACACATATTAGCCCAATCTGCTGGCGTCATGTTCAAGTTGTTAATGGATTCGACCAAGCTTACAGTGAAGGGTGCTTGAGGACCACAGGTTGTTACAGCCTCTTTTAGCTGCTTCACTGTTTTGAAATTTAAAGCATGGTGAATTCGCTGCCCTCCTACCTCAAATACAGGGCATGTTAATATTTGAGATCCTGTCTCAGGATCCCAACTATCAACTGCGGGGGTTGGGAGCCTCCCAGCATATGGAGGTGGCGCTGTTGGTTGGACATTTATGCCCTCTGGTGATAGAAAGGTGTTAGTAGCAGTCTCCTGTAAAGGTGGTGCTGTTGGTTGGACATTTACGCCCTCTTGTGATAGAAAGGTGTTAGTAGCAGTCTCCTTTTGTAACTTTCCCCCTGATAGCTTTTTCTGCTCTAAGCTTTCTTCCTCTATCTTTGTCTGAACTGAAGGTTTTGGACTAATCAAACCAAATACCAACGTCCACAATGGCAATGTGCCAACTGGCAGAGTCCCTGGGCTTTTCTTTTCTATTCTTTTTAAATCTTCACCATGATGGTTCCATTATATTGTTGATATATTCAACAACTCCTCCTTAAAAAGCCATGGGCTACATTTTTGTATTATATCAACGTATGCCCTGACTGCTCTTGATTTTACTGGGATGCTTCCTTCCTCTAACAATTTACTTAACACTCTTTCGGTTTGTTTTTTACTAATTTCTGATCCCATATTTCTACTATAATACAACCCAACAAGATAACACCAAACAAAACCGAGACAGAATGAAATAAAAATGGAACGACATGAAATCATTATAGCCTTTCTATCCTCCTGAAATGTCCATCCGTCCTTTCTCCCTATCTGTTCCTCAGATGCAAATAGTTTTTCCTTAGATGTGAGCGGTTTTTCTTCTGTCTCACTCATCTCCAGGGACAGACAACTTAAAACAAAAGTGAAACAAAACAAAAGAGGAATCTTAAAATGGCTACCCATCCTCTCGCCCTGCCCTCAGGGGCGAGCAGTTTACCTTATCACTTACCCTCAGTCGTTCTGTCCCCGTGCGAGCCACCAAATGCCGCAGTCTGGCTGGGCACAATTCAGGAGCCACTTGTCAAAAGAAACGAACTTTATTTTTAGAACCACACACGCCAAACAAAACAGCTCCTCAGGACTTACCTTCAGAGCCCAACTGCCACCACCGGCTTCCCACAAGCCTCTCAACCTCCCGCACTCCTCCTGCTCCTGAGGCCAATTGGCTGGGTCGTGTGGGCGGAGCCAAAAAAGTCCCCCAATGAGCAGCTCCGTAGTCTGAAAGGGCAGGGAAACAGCCCAATGAGCATCACCACAGAGGAGCCAATCAGCTAGAAGTTGCTGGGGCCGCTGTGAGCCAATCATCAGCTGGCAGTCTGAAAGTTTGCTGGGGCCCCTTCGGCTGTGGCTCTCAACAACATGGCAATCTGATTTTCCTGCCCTTGAACTGTAAGAAATATTGTACAGATGATAGCTATAATTAATTCAATAGGGAAGTCTAAGTTGAAATTACAATTGAAGAGAATTGCTATCCCACTGAAAATGAATTTCATTCTTCTCAGACCTGTATCACAAAAGAAGAACTCTATCACAGTATTATCAATATTTACCCAAAAAAAAATTCTTAAAGAAAAAGCTAATGTATATTAATGTGCATTTTGTTTCAAACATTTAAGAAAATCTAAAAAAGCATGCACAAAAATCTGGTTTGAAGGAAATGTACATCTTTCGCTATATCACGGGCATATACAAATATGTAAAAATGAATTTCACCATTATGTGTAATCATATGTGCCAATACTATGGAAAAAAATATGCCAAACTGTGAAAAATATAAAATCCATGTAAAAATGTCATTTTCCCCTGAGAAGAAACATACACAAGTATACGTGTACCTGTATATATAAAATTACAAATTGTAATATAAAATGAATTGTATTCTGCCATAATGTATAATAAATTAGAATAAGTAATTTAATAAAAAAAGACACTATTACATTTGCTACCCGCCCCCCCCAAAAAAAAACTACATATAAATGAAGTCTAATGGCATATTAGAAATACATATCAAATTGCTTTGGAGCCAACATGCTTCAAAATGTTAGAAGACATACTACCAGATTTGATTCAAAATATAGTACCTATTAAACTCAGATAGTACAGCCTACCTAAACAAAACTCAGAAATGTTTCACCTCAATCTTTATTTCAAAGAATCCAGATTAGAAACACACAGTGCATAAATTACTTTAAGAATGAATTACTGGTCAAAATAATATAAGTTTTGGGAAATCTCTAGGTAGTACAGTTTCTGGAGACTTCTAAACTAATTATTTTGCACCAAGTTCTTCATATCAATTGCACATATAGAATTCTGCTACATGAAGAATTTTCAGAGGCCTCTGAAACTATCTTACAACAGGAGAATTCTCTTCTGAGAATATTTCACATTCACAGGGTTTTAATCCACTGTGACTTCTTACATGTGAACCAAATGTAGATCATTGAACATGACTTCTATTGCAGGTTCCACTGCATACTGTGTTCATTTATAGGAGTATCCTGAACCAAGATGACAAGCATTCCCATATCCTTTGCAATAATAAAAGTTATTGCACCTGTATTCTCATGTTTGCAACAAAGTTTATTCCCACTTCTCTATATTCACAGTTACTCTCCAGTGTGTTCTTCCGTGTAGTTGAAGCAATCTGAGAAAAAGACGGTTTTACATTGCTGATATCATTAAGGTTTCTCCTCCGTGTGAATTGTTTCATGGTATCAAAGGGAACTGTGAGGGGCTGGGGATATAGCTCAGTTGGTAGAGTGCTTGCCTTGCATATAGAAGGCCTTGGGTTCAATCCCCAGCACCACACACACACACACACACAGAACTGTAGTGAAGGCTTTCTCACTTTGTTTACACTCATGGAGTTTCTCTCAAAAGTGAATCCTTGATGTTTGAGAAGGTAACTGGAGGGAGTGAAGGCTTCACTGCTTTCTTCACACACACACGGTTTCTCTCCAGTGTGCATTCTTTCTGTGTGGAGGAATCACTGGAGGATTTCCCACACTGCTCTCATGCATGTTTTCATTTCACTGTGAATTCTTTAATGTTGTTTGAGGGGACAGGGATAACTGTAGGCTTTGCCACATGGCTTTCATACACAGGGTTTTTCTCTGGTGTACATTATTTCGTGTCTTCTGATTGAACAGGACTGAATGAAAGTTTTCCCACACTGTTTACATGTATAGGACTTCTCTTCCCTGTGAATTCATTCATGTGCTTTGATGGGGCTAGAAGAACTAAAGCCTATTTCACATTGCTTACACATATAGGGTTTATCTCCAGTGTTTTCTCACGTCTTTTGATAGCATCAGAATGACTGAAAGGTTTCCCATTGTTTACCTGTATAGGGTTTCTATCCCTTATGAATCCGTTCATGTTTTCTAATGGAGCTGGAAGAACTAAAGGTTTTTCCACATTGTTTACATATGTAGGGTTTCTTTCCACTATGAATCTGTTCATGGATTTGAAGGGAATTGGGAAAACAAAAGGCTTTTCCACATTGCTTGCATTCATAAGGTTTCTCTCCACTGTGAATTCGTTCATGGATTTTAATATAATAGGTAGAACTAAAGGCTTTTCCACAGTGCTTACATACACAGGGTTTTTCTCCACTGTGAATCTGTTCATGTGTTTTCATGCATCTAGAAGTACTAAAGCCTTTTCCACATTGCTTACATATATAGGGTTTCTCTCCACTGTGAAGTCGTTCATGTTTTCTAATGGAGCTGGAAGAACTAAAGGCTTTTCCACATTTCTTACATACATAAGGTTTCTTTCCGCTGTGAATTTGTTCATGAATTTGAAGGGAATTTGGAAAATGAAAGGCTTTCCCACATTGATTGCATTTATAAGGTTTCTCTCCACTGTGAATTCGTTCATGGATTTTAATGTAATAGAAAGAACTAAAGGCTTTTCCACATTGCCTACATACACAGGGCTTCTCTCCACTGTGAATCTGTTCATGTTTTCTAATGGAGCTGGAAGAACTAAAGCCCTTTCCACACTGCTTACATACAAAGGGTTTCTCTCCATTGTGGGTTATTTCATGTATTTGAAGGGATCTGGGGAAATGAAAAGCTTTCCCACATTGTTTGCATGTATAAGGTTTCTCTTCACTATGAATGCGTTCATGTGTTTTCATATGGTTAGAAGAATTAAAGCCTTTTCCACATTGCTTACATACATATGGTTTTATTCCACTGTGAATTTGTTCATGCATTTGAAGAGAACTGAGAAAAGGAAAGGCTTTCCCACATTGTTTACATGTATAAGGCTTCTCTCCACTGTGAATTCGTTCATGTTTTCTAATGGAGCTGGAGGAAATAAATTGTTTCCCACATTGCTTACAAACATAGGGTTTCCTTCTAGTGTGCGTTATTTCATGTCTTTGAAGGGATCTATGTAAATGAAAAGCTTTCCCACATTGTTTACAAACATAGGGTTTCTCTCCACTGTGAATTTGTTCATGGATTTTTATGTAATAGGAAGAACTAAAGGCTTTTCCACATTGTTTACATACACAGGGTTTCTCTCCAAGGTGAACTTGTTCATGGATTTTAAGGCGATAGGAAGAACTAAAGGCTTTTCCACATTGCTTACATACACAGGGTTTCTCTCCACTGTGAATTCGTTCATGGATTTTAATATAATAGGAAGAACTAAAGGCTTTTCCACAGTGCTTACATACACAGGGTTTCTTTCCACTGTGAATTTTTTCATGTGTTTTCATGTATCTGGAAGTGCTAAAGGCTTTTCCACATTGCTTACACACATAGGGTTTCTTTCCACTGTGAATCTGTTCATGAATTTTAAGGGAACTGGGAAAACGAAAGGCTTTGCCACATTGTTTGCATTTATAAGGTTTCTCTCCACTGTGAATTCGTTCATGAACTTTAATGTACCTAGAAGAACTAAATGCTTTTCCACAGTGCTTACACACATGGGGTTTCTCTGCTGTGAGAGTTCTTTCATGCTTCTGAAAACATTGGGGATCATGGAAGGCTTTCCCATGTTCCTTATATTCATATGGCTTCCCTCCATGTTCCAGATACCCATGTGCTTTGTGTCTAATATGAGCTGTCTGGGGCATGGCTAGGGATGAATCTGCAACGAGGACATCTCCACACACATGGTGTTCACTTGGTTTTACTCCAGAAGAACTTCTCTTGTTTATAAGAGGATCTAAGATTTGGCTGAATATTTCTCCATATTGATTATCTTCTTTCTGTTCCCAGAGTCTCTCAATCACTTGAATTCTGCAAAGAACAGAAACTACATTACTAAGGATTTACTTATTAATGATCTCCCAGAACAACAGATTTTATGTTGTGTGAGCTTTACTATTGAGCTACATTCCAGTCCTGTTAAAGTTATTTTTCATTTTTTGAAACAGCCTCTCAGTAAGTTGCTCAAGGGTTCACTAAGGTGCTGGCCTCCCACTTGTGATCCTCCTGCCTCAGTCTCCCAATCGCTGGGATTACAGGTATGCACTACCAATTACCTTGGGGTTCTACATACTCCTTCCAAGTAATGTATTTTTTTAATCCTGAAGATGTTTATCAAATTACAAAAGAGTACTATTTATGTGAAATGCATGGGACAAAATTCAGATAAGATACCTTCAAAATGGGTCCCACTTGAGGGTAATTTCATACATATCCAGTAATTTGTGTATGGAACACAGTATATAATATATATATAAAATAAATTATCAGAAAGTGTCACTTAAGACATCAAATGGTTCCCATACTGGAACATTTTGGATCTTGAACTTTCCCACTCAAACTGTATGTATTGTTAAAAAAAAAAAAAAAAAGACAAAAACAAAAACAAAAAACAGATTAAATCATGGCATGTATATTTTCCTTCTCTTCATGACTTTTTTTTTTAAAGATTTCCATTTCTTTTTTTCTTTTAAGAGAGAATTTTAATATTTATTTATTTTTGTTTTTTAGTTTTTGGCGGACAAACATCTTTGTTTGTATGTGGTGCTGAGAATCAAACCCGGGCTGCACACATGCCAGGTGAGCGCGCTACCACTTGAGCCACATCCCCAGCCCTCTCTCTTCATGACGTTTTTATACATTACTCCAAGATTTATGAGGTACATTGCCTTATCTTGTGAGTTCAATTACCTTAGATTTCTCCAGGAAATATAGTGATCATCGATGGCCTGATTTTTCCAGTGTTTTCCTAAAATGCAGACCCAGAAACATCATTGTCAGTTCAACATTACATAAAAATTATCAGTGTCTTGTAGATCTGTTGAATAATGTCATCATGCCAGTATAGTCATCAGAATGTGAACCTTTCATATTCCAGATCATGGAACAGAACTGATAGGCAAGTAAAAACCATTCTCTGATTGACAAAGTGAGGGAAAAAATGTCACCCTTACCTATAGTGGTCAGGTTCCAGAAGGTTTCCTGCATCACATCTCTGAAGAGCTTTTTCTGGGAAGGATCTAGCAGAGCCCACTCCTCCAGGGTGAAGTTCACAGCCACATCCTCAAAGGTCACCGACTCCTAAAATATCCCACAGGTATTCCAAGGAGGAAAATGAGACATACTGCAGACCTATACTCAGTTTGTGAGAATCTCATATGGTACTGTGTCTCCCAATACTCCATCACTTGGGTGTCACACTCTTACTCTCCAGCCAGGCTCACATCCTCTCACATCAATTCTGATGCTGGATCATATCCACTTGTTAGAGTAACAAAAAGAACAGGAACTCTGGCTGTGCTCCTGGATTACTCCAATTCTCTTTGTACACTCATCTCTAGCCCTTCTCACCACAAAGTCTAACATGTACTGTGCGTAATATCAGTAGCTGTTAGGAGACAGCATATTCTTAGAAATACTTGAGGACAAACTTTGATCTTTGTTGATATCTGGGAACTACTGTTAGTATGACCCTCACTAGCATAACTGTAAAGAGGGAATTGGGTTCCTAAGCAGGTTATCCCAACAAAATTCAGCCTGTTTAAATCTTGTTGCTCCTCTACATGTTTGTGAGACTTTGACATGCTTGTTAGATGTTGCCTATCTCATTATCCCCTGAAATACACCTGGGTGATGAATCTTTAGTGAACTGGATCAGATTTTAAAACTCTTTTTTTTGGCTAGGGATATAGCTCAGTCGGTAGAATGCTTGCCTTGCATGCACAAAGCCCTGGGTTCAATCCCCAGCATCACAAAAACAAAACAAAACAAAACAAAACCTCTTTTTACAACTCTTTATTTAGGGAATTAAGCACATCATTTGGGGTTACACTAAGGCACCATAACTGGAAGCCTGTATGTTAGTTTCTGTACATCCACAAGAATATAATAGTAAATAAGACTCATGAAGGATAACTCAGTATACTCATAGGTAATTATTAAGATTTTTGTTGGAGAATGTCAAAGCTGAATAAAATAAGGGGAAAAGTGGTACATGTTCTTAAAAATATTTCAGTGTCACCAAGGTGTCACCTCTCACAGGACCTATAAAAATTGCAAAAATGCTAAAAATAAGTCCTTTTCCTAGGAAAACAAAAACTAGGTCACGCCTGGTACAGTGGCACACTCCCATAATCCCAGTGACTTGTATATAGTGAGACCCTGTTTCAAAATATTTAAAAAAATAAGATAAAGGAATAAATTTTGGGCCTGGTGCGGTGGAGCACGCCTGTAATCCCAGTGGCTCAGGAGGCTGAGACAGGAGGATCATGAGTTCAAAGCCAGCTTCAGCAATGGCAAGGCACTAAGCAACTCAGTGAGACCCCGTCTCTAAATAAAATATAAAAATAGGGCTGGGGATGTGACTCAGTGGCCAAGTGCCCTGAGTTCAATCCCTGGTACCAAAAAAATAAATAAATAAATAAATAAATAAATAAATTTTGGGGCTGAGGATATAGCTCAGTTAGTAGAAGGCTTGCCTTGCATGCACAAGGCCCTGGGTTCAATCTCAGCACCACAAAAAAATTTTAAAAAATAAAAGTTTTAAAAAGGGCTTAGGATGTGGCTCAGTGATTTAGGGCCTTTGGCATCAACCCAAACCAACAAGAAAAAAGAAAAAAAAAAAAAGGAAGAAAACAAAGGCAAAAAACTAATTTATGAAAGCCTCTGGGCATAATGAACCTCTAATGATATTTAAATTCGTTGGAATAAGAGAGTGATAATTTTATTGCTCTTTTAAATTAGGAAACACTCTATTTTCTTTTTTATTTTTTAGTTGTAGTTGGACACAATACCTTTATTTTATTTATTTTTATGTGGTGTTGAGGATCAAACCCAGGGCCTCGCATGTGCTAGGCAAGCGCTCTACCACTGAACCACAACCCCAGCCCCAAGGAAACATTTAAGTAATTACATTTAAGTAATTTAAGTAATTACCATCAATTCATATTTAAGTAATTACCTTAAATGTGAATGTTCTGCAGAAAGACTGGCAGAAAACAAGCTGTTAATGAGGGTCAGGACACCAATATCTGAAAGCAATACTTTATTCATGGTGTCACAGCCCAGAGAGATAAATCCCAAAGTCTGAGCACTGAGCACAGCAGGGCCATTACTTTATATAAGCATGTTTGGGGTACATCAAGGCAAGGGAGTTGGTGCAATTCTATTGGAAGGTGTATTCTACATTAAAAAAAAATTTTTTTTGAAATTGTAGATGGACAGAATGCCTTTATTTTATTTGTTTCTTTTTATGTGGTGCTGGGATCTCACCCAGTGACTCATGCATGCTAGGCAAGTTCTCTGCTGATGAGCTACAGCGCCAGCCCACATTCTACATTTCTTATATGGATGCAAGCTTGTCAACTGCCAAGGGACTCTTAGCTCCTACAACTTAGGGACTTTTACTACACCAAGCCTAAAGTAGGATTGTTCTGTCTCTATTGCTTGGTTTATTGTTTCTGCCACTGCAGTTATCTTTTATAGGTACCTGTTAGCCACCACAAGCCTCTATGCTTACATGTCAGTAAGCTGAGCTTCTGTGTGTCCACAGGCAAAAACCACAGCCTGACAGCTCTTAAACTGCCAAAGTTCCCATTTTGCTCTACCACAATACAGAATCTTTACCAATTCTGTCTTGTTCTGAGCTACAAGACACATTTTACAAACCTAAAGGAACACAAATTGTGGGGAGCAGATGAGCCCATAGTCATCAGCTGATCCTACATTGTGGCAAAGGCCAAGCCTGGGAAACATTCCTTGCCAAAGGCGAGGATGTGAACAGTCTTGACACTCGGCTCTGACTTCACAGACTTCAGTTATCAAATGTTCCAATACAATGCTTTTTCTGGGTACAGCAGTTTCTACCTCTGTAACTTTTTAGTGCACAAAGAAGCTTCTTAATAACTCACAAGCTTTGAATTTGAACACTTTACAATGCCCCAATAGTTAAACTTCCTGATTAGGAGTCCCTATATAATAAACTTTTTTTTTTTCTATATAATAAACTTGCAGAGCTAGTTCTGGGTCACTGTTCCTCCTTCAGAAGGCAGTGTCCCACCTGGCCCCAGCTTTGCTTAAAAATGTCTCTGTGTTTTTCTCCATCTCCAGTCCCCAGTACTCAAGATCCTTTGTTGAAGTTTCATGGGCCGCAGCAAGAAATCATAGTCAGTTGCTCACTTTCTATACTGAAAGACCATACTGAAATGAAACCAGACATTAATAGCATAAACATAGCTGGAAAATGTCCAAGAAACTGCACACTCCATGGTTGAATGGCACAGGCATTGAAAGAAACAATACCAAAGAAATTTAAGTATTTTGAAATATGTGAACATGAACAAACATGTTAACATCACTTGTGGGATACAGAAAAAGCAGTGCATAGGGAGGAAACTTAAAACAATGAATGCATGTATTAGAAAAGAAGAAAGACCTTTAATCAACAGTTTAATGTACCACATTGGATAACTGCCAAACCAGAGCAAGGTAATTTTAAGTAAAGCACAGAAAAATAACTTGGAAGAAATCAACCAATTTCTGGAAAGAAACAACCCACACTATCTCACTGAGGAAAGATAATCAATGTAAATAAGGCGCTATGTATTACAGAAACAATAGCAACTCAACAACAGGGAGAAGCAGGCTCACTGGTCTCTTTGGCTAATTCTAACATTTAATAACACCAATCATCACAATTTCTCCAGGTAATAGATGTTAAAGTACTTCTTAATAATGTATGAGTCCTATAGGGCCATGATACTAAACTAGATAGACATTATAAGAAACAAAATAAATAGATATATAGATAGATAAAGGAATGACTGAGGTTCTCAAAAGAAAGAAAGAACAAACGAGCGAACTGGGGATGTATCTCAGTGAGAGTTCCCTGGGTTTCAATCCCAGTACAGGGGAGGAGAGAGAGAAGACAAAAATTTTTTATGAATAAGGATGAAAAAATCTTCAACAGGGTCTGGGGATAGCTCAGCAGTACAGCACCTGCCTAGCACAGATGAGGCCCTGACTTTGATCCCCAGCACTGCAAAAATAAATATATAAATAAATAAGAAAAAAGCCCACAACAAATAATGGTATATTACATCTATCCTTATTTAAACACAATACTCCAACAAAATCCAAGTAGAAATTCTTAAAAGTATTTTTCAAAAATATTTTGTTGTCAATAGACCTTATTTTATATATTTGTACATGGGGCTGAGAATCGAACCAGTGCCTCACTAGGAAAGCATCTACCACTGAGCCATAACCCCAGCCCCTACTATAAAGAATGACCAAACATTAAAAAGTCAACTCATGTAATTGATCATTTCAACAAGATAAACAACAAACCTTTTCCAATCCGCCATCTGGGTGGGACCACCACCGAGATGCAGATTTTTGTAAAAACCCTTACGGGGAAGACTAATACACTCGAGGTTGAACCCTCGGACACTATAGAAAATGTAAAAGCCAAGATCCAGGATAAGGAAGAATTCCTCCTGATCAGCAAAGACTGATCTTTGCTGGTAAGCAACTGGAAGATGGACGTACTTTGTCTGACTACAACATTCAGAAGGAGTCCACCCTTCATCTTGTGCTGAGGCTTTGTGGTGGTGCTAAGAAAAGGAAGAAGAAGTCTTACACCACTCCCAAGAAGAAAAGCATAAGAGAAAGAAGGTTAAGTTGGCTGTCCTGAAATATTATAAGGTGGATGAAAATGGCAAAATTAGCCGCCTTCATCGTGAGTGTCCTTCAGATGAATGTGGTGCAGGAGTTTTTATGGCCAGCCACTTTGACAGACACTATTGTGGCAAGTGTTGTCTGACTTACTGCTTCAACAAACCAGAAGACAAGTAATGTATTTGAGATAATAAAAGACATGAACTAAAAAAGATAAACAACAAAAACTCTAAGATCAAACCAATAGGTACAGAGAAACCAAAAGAAATAATAATGATAGGCATTGAGACCGAGATGAAACAAATAAAAAATGACTTCTCACACGTGCCATTATTGCCTACCTACAAAATCCCAAAGAACCAACAAAAACTCCTGCAATTAATACTGGAGTGTAGCATGGTTGCAAAACACACAGGACCTTAATATACACACAGGACCTTTCTGTATATCAAGTATAAAAAAAAATCAATGTCAAATTAAAAACAACACCACTGAAACCGAACAAAAAGCTGGACAAAGAGACAGAGAAACAATTTCAGAAAAATGAAGGATCACTTAAGAAAAACGCTCAAGGGCAGAGGTAATCAATGAAAGATACATCTTAGTGCCTCTGGAGGCTGAGAGAAAGGAGGATCTCAAGTTCAAAGCCAGCTGCACCAACTTACAACCATGTCTCAAAATAAAAAAGAAAAAGCGCTGGGGATGTATGTAGTTGAGTGAAGTGTCCCTGGGTTCAATCCCCACTACAAAAAAACACGGAGGTGGGGGATAGGCAGTGCTTGGGGATATGCCTCAGCGGTTAAGGACCCCGAGTTCAATGTCGGTAGCAAACAAAACCAACCAACCAACCCACCCAAGGCTCACGTCAGGGTGAAACGTCCTAAGACGATGCTGCCACCCTCCATCCTCCCTTCATCCGCCACCTTCTTTGTACTCCCCTTTGCTCCCCTCTAGAAAGAAAAGTCCTTTCTGCCAACCACTGAGGGGTCTGCAGACTTCACAGCTGGGCTTCCCTGCTTTGCGGTTCTCTTAAATGCAGCGGTGCCTTCCTCGATCCGCATTTTCTAAACCAATGTCCAGCGGGCGCTGATTTCCAGTAGGGGGCCCTGGCAGAAGGGTCCACAGATCTGTCCGCCTCCTGCGCCCACAAGCCCCGGGGCTGAGGGTCAGTCGCGGATTTGGGAACCGGCTTCCCCAGGTTTGCAGACTTCGGAGTAACCAGGGGACCCCGAGGAGCAGGGGGGCTGGGACGCGCACACCTCCCTCCCAGTCCCCGCCTCGCCCGCGGCGGGAGTCTCCCCGCGACCCTCCCGCCGCCACCGCAGAGGGGGAGACGCGGGGCTGGGCGGCCGCGCTGCCCACAGACCGCTCCGGCCGGCAAAGCGCCGCGCAGGACCCGGGCCCCGGCCGGACTCCGACCGCAGTCGCCGCAGCTGCCGCCGGAGGCCCGGGTCCCTCCACAGCGACTCACCCGTCCCCTTCACCGCGACCCGCTCCCCTTGCGGGAAGGGCGCCCTCCACACTCACCATTGCCCTCCTTCTGGGGTTCCCGGGGTCGCCTCAGCCTGTAGAACGGAGATGTCACAGAGAGGAAGCTGAGACGCTTAGAAGTTCTCTTCACAAGACCCGCTGGACACACTATGGCGGCCCAGGAATGAAGCCGTTCCAAAGTAGAAGGTTTCCATCTTCTTCCAGCTGCGCTTCTGATTGGACAGTTCCTGCGGCTCCACCCCATGTCTCTAATTGGCTAGTGGTCCAGGACCCGCCCCTGAGTCCTGAGTGACAGCAGAATAGAACCTCTACCTGGCTGAATGGAACCTAAGAGGTGGTTTCCAGCTACAGCCCTTCCCAGCCCGAGCTTCTTACCAGGGCCTGGATCTGAGCTAACGGGAGGGATAATTGCACACATCCATACAGGTCCACCCTCCGAGGTGTGGGAATACCTATATAAACTAAACACAGTAAACAATATGTGAGATAATTTTACAAAATATAACTTTTAGTACTATGGATTGAAACCAGAGCCATTTAACCATTGAGCCCCATGTCCAGCCCTTTTTAAAAACACCTTTATTTATTTCCTTTTTTTTATGTGGTGCTGAAGAGCGAACCCATGCCTAGGCGAGCGCTCTATCACTGAGCAACAACGTAGCCCCAATAAAATACAACTTTAAACGTAACTACAATATATTGATATTGCTAATTACTATTAATCACGTAGGACAGAAGAGGCTGGACACTCGAGGAGTTTTCAGGAAGCAGGTTCATTGGCTGCAGCTGGCCGGTCCGGAGCCGGTGCACTCCCTGCATTCTGGTTGAGCCACCTTTTTGGGGTCCCCTAACCTGCATGGCTGCTGCCCATGTGGGTAACCACGCTGCTTCCAGGAGGCAGACAGTTTCATGTCCATGTTTCCATGTTTGTTTTTCTTTCCTCCTGTCAGGAGGCCCCTTTCCTTCCATCGGTTCACATAAGCATAAAGGACTAATAGTCATCTTTTTCATTGCTGTGACCAAAAGACTACAAAATCAATTTTAAATTGATCAATTTTTAGAGGAGGAAAAGTTTATTTGGGGCTTATATTTTCAGTCCACAGACACTCCTTAGGCTCCATTCCTGAGGGCCAAGTTGATGCAGAACATCATGGCAGAATTGTGTGGTTGCAAAAAGCAGCTGGGTTCAATTCCCACTACATCTCCCACACAAAAGGTTCCTAGGCAGAGTAAAAATGACTGAGTATATGCATGAAAAGTACACCAAATCATATTTATCTAAAGGTAAAACACTCCACAATTAAAAGACTCATGTCCTTGTTAGGGTAAAAAAAAAAACAACAACAAAAAACCCAAATACAGTGTAAGTATTTAAGAGTGTAACAAACAATCAAAGGTTTATACCTGAATTTAGGATAACCTGATGTACTCTACTGAAATTTACTAGAGTTTGAAGTTAGCCAAAACCTACAAGCCAGGAGTTGAAAGCAATTTCAACACTCTTTCTGCCCAAACTCAGAGAATCTGATTTTCACAGCTACCATTATAGCTATTCAAATATCCACTTATCAATAACAGTAATAACAAAAAGAATAAATAAAAAGAGGGAAATAGGGCTTATCAATGAAAAAAGAAATGAACTGAGAGAAGCCATTCAGGAGAAACCTCAGGTTTTGACCTTAGACACAGACTATCAGGCAACTGTCTTAACTATGCTGAAAGTGGTAGAGGCAACCATAGAAAAAGAGCTAAAGGTCACCAGGACGATGATGTATGAATAGTGTGATATCAGTACATGCCGCAGTCCGGCTGCAGCAGAATTACCGGGGAGTGAGGAACAATTTGTGTACTTTGATACAGCAGGAGTGGAAGCCGTTTATTGCAGGACAGGAGCGGTATTTATACATTCCACACAGCTTATCTAATTAGCATAAACTAGATACATCAGTCAACCAATAAGGAATCTCCCCACTTAATGGCTCGCTTTTGTTACTTCTCAAACCACTCCCTCTGGCATTTTGCCAGGCACCATCCAGACTTGTTTAGGAACTCTAACATTCCCCTGGCAAAATGCCAGGTGTTATTTTGACTTGTTTACAGACTCTAACAAGTACAGACTTAGAAGTCATCAAAAGGATCACATAGATGTTTTGCAGGGTCAATGTAGAACAACTTACATAAAACCATCACTATAGGTGTTCCATGTCACACTGGAGCAAGGAGAAGAAAGAATCAACAAAAAATGATGCCTTTTAGGAAAAAGTTATCTAGAGAGAAGCGAAAACATGTGAGAATGTTCACATAAAGAATGCTAGTAAAGAATTACATGGAAGTACAATAAAAACTTTATTTTTTTACAGATAGATTTGTTTTTAATAAAGGAGTTAATTTTCTTTCAATCCTATATAAAACAATAGCAATTATTATTTTTTTAAAAGAATTTTGGATTTAGTTCAATCCAATCCATTTATTGATTCTTGATTTTATTTCTTGTGCTTTAGGAGTTTTTTTGTTTTTTGTTTTTGTTTTTTTTTTTAGAGAGAGAGAGAATTTTTTTAATATTTATTTTTTAGTTTTCGGCAGACAACATGTTTGTATGTGGTGCTGAGGATCCAACCCGGGCCGTACGCATGCCAGGCGAGCGAGCTACCGCTTGAGCCACATCCCCAGTCCCGAACAATAGCAATTAAAAACTTCATTTTTGAAAGTAAAATATTTACATATGAACAAGTAACTGTGCAAAATTTACATGAAAAAATGGAAAGACAGGGATTTTCCTAAAATATAAAATAAAAGGTGTAACAGTTCTCAGGTGCTGATAAAAAATACTGATCAGCCTTCAGTCCACAGGCGCAGACTGAAGTCTAACGTGAGGATCCACACGGAGAAAGCCCAAGTATTTACAGTCATAAAAGTACTATCAATAGACAATTTAATACAATAACCTCTGAAAATATAAAGAACCAATTAGTATATTTGTAATAAAAAAATAGGTACAAAGAAGGGGCTTTGCTCTGGGGTCTGTAAAGTCGGCCTTCGGCTGGCATACAGTCTCTTAGCAAAATAATCATAGTTTACACAGCCATTTTCATGTTATGTGCCGAAGATTATGTACAATTACTGACAAAATACACCAACCATTTTTCAACACTTGATTCACACTGAGAAACAGTCTTTTGATGATTCTTCTCAACTTTGATTTTATTTAATCTAAGTTTTCACTTTTAGCTAAAAAACACAGTGCAAGTAAAATATATTTATGCTGAAAAAGTTCTCATATCTTTTAACATTACAGCTTCACAAAATGTAGCAAATAAAATGCATTTGTACAGATGCTGAGCACATTCAGAAGGGGCCGCTCGCTGGGCTCCTGGCCTCCACCAGGCGGGACCGTGGGCCCACTCGAGGTGACGGTGCTGCGGTAAAGCGCACGTTCCTGCAGAACTTCAAGCGGAGTGGGGAAGAAGAGGAGGAAGATAAATAGTCTAAAAATCAGTTTGCTTAGCCAACTGACTGTTACAAAAATTAAATAAGTGAAATGAGGTCATCGGCTGTAGACAGACACCTACGTGGTACGTTAGGTGAACTAAACCAAAATGCACGAGGACCTGGGGCTGTGCGCGCTGGCAGGGCAGCGCGGTCGCTGAACGGCAGTCTTTAATATGGCTTGTTTGGCCAGAAGGCCACTCAGTCGAGGATGAGCGGGGGCGCAGCCGACCTTCAGGAGCATCCACAGGCCTGTGTTCTCTGCAACAGGAGAGGTTTCCTTCCACACTGAGCTGATTTAGAAACTGGAATATAAAACTGTTCCATGGCAAAGAGGTGGCTGTTTTTAAACAATATCCCATTTGCCCGGGTCAACCTCGGGGAGCTCATATTTGTTTAGAGAACGAGCGCGAGACGAGCCATTCACTGTTGCTCTACAAAGCGCTCCTCCAGTAACACAGGCTGCCGGGGTTTCTGACCGAGACGCCTGGGGACGTTTTCACGTATTTGCAGATCGCGCCTTTTTGTAACAAGCAAATGGGATATTGTTTAAAAACAATTTAAAAACAATTCTCTGCCGCGTGAACTGCCTGGGGGCTCCCACGCCGGAGCTGCCTGGGACCGCCACACCGGGGCCCGAGCCCTTTTGAACGGTTTGCTGCGTGACCTCTCCTTTGCCTCTCGGCCGCGCGGAAGCGAAGGCCACGGACATGGTGGTGGCGCGGGCAGAGCCGGTGATCACCGGGGTCTATCCTCCTGCGGCGCCCGGCAGCCCGAGGTGTCCATTCTCCGCAGCGCGGCCGGGGCGGGGGGCGCCGCGCCGTGGGCTCGCCCGCCCCGCCGCTGCCGCCGACCGCCGGAGCCGCCGCGCTACCGCTCCGAGCGCCGCCGCCGCCGCAGGCCGAGCTCCGCGCAAGGCCCCCAGGAGCCCACCCCGCGCCCCGCGCCCGCTCGCTGCCGCCGCGCCGCCCCCCGCGCCCCGCGCCGGGCACAATAAAAACTTTATACTTTCTTTATTCCCATCTGCATCAACAGATATTTCTTCAAATTGATCATATCAGCAATCTACCTGGTAGTTATACCTAATGGATAGATAAGACAAATTACAGCAATTATATATGGCATGGGAAAGAGACCTGAGAACAGACGAAGACACGTGAGCTGTTTGTAAAACAGTACTCTGTTGTTTGAAGGCACGCTGTGATTAGCTGTGTACAGATATGGGGGAGGTACTGGAGATTAAACTCAGGGACACTTTACCACTGAGCTACACCTCCAGCCCTTTTTTTTTTTTAAATCATTTTTGAGACAGGGTCTTGCTAAGTTGCTAAAGCTGGCCTTAAACTTGCAATCCTCCTGCCGCAGCCTTGCGAGCTGCTGGGACTACAGGCACCACTGCATCTAGCTTAGTTGTAAATAGATTTTGATAACTGTACTAAATTATTTAGAAACATATTTGTTTAATTTAATCAATAAATCAAATTTAGTGGATATCCTTGTGTAGAAGAGAAAATGTGCTTACAAATATGGTACTTTTTTTTCTTAGTTGTGGATGGGTAGCTGTTTTTGTTTGTTTGTTTGTTTTGTTTACATTTTTTTCAGTTGTAGATGGACCAATGTCTTTTATTTATTTATAGAGGTGCTGAGCATCAAACCCAGTGTCTCACACGTGCTAGGCAAGCGCTCTGTTATGAACTACAATCCCAGTTCTACATTACCTTT